TACCTCAAACTCATAACTTTTATCAGAGAAGACGGGATCTTCAATATAAACAACAATTTCAGTACTTCCCTTTTCATCTTCACAATCTTCCACAACATTTTTACCTTTATCCCTATTCATTGCTTTAATTTTATTTTTTTGCTCGATCTCTCTTATTTCATCTTTTTCATCATCTGTAGTATCCAAATCACAAAACAAACATTCATCGTTATTTTCTCTTAATATAGCAGTATTACGGCATACGGGACATGAAGGAGTTGTTGCATTTCTTGATATCCTTGGAATTGTTGAATATTTAAATTTAATATTTAAAGATCATTATTTGAAGCTTGGATATCTCTCCTGCTTAGTTCCAGGCTAGGACAAGTAGCTCCACTGATCATAGAAAAATAGCTAGCTGGTATTATATATAAATTAATTTGAAGCTTCTATAGCTTAGCTTTATTAGCCTCAAGATAACATTTACTGGCTTTACTTTGGCCTTGGATTCAAATAGAGTGTCTTTTGTACTATACATGGTTTAACATTAAGAGTTAGATAATTAGGGTTCAAACCCGAACGCTACGGTAGTCAATTCCAAATTGGGTGAAGGGCATTGTTCAGAGAAAGGGTGAGAATTTTAGGACATGATAAAAATATGAATGATATGTACCATTTATTAAGACATGTTTGATGGAATTCATGCTAAAATTAAAAAAATTCTTTGCTTTATAAGCTCCGTAAAAATCCAACCCCGCAGTCTCCATATTTTTTGGTTTCTAAATACATATTGTCTTGACAAATTGGGCATTGTTCCATTTTGCCTTCACAATTATAATTTGGCAATTTTATTTTAAATTCAAAATATTTTTGTTCAAATTCATTTTTGTTAATTTTTAATTCTTTTCTAAAAATGGAAACATTATTAAAGGTATTCAATTTAATGCCGATAACCTCTCTATAGGATTAATACCGATATAGGTTAATACCGATATAGGCCACGCCACACACACTAATGATGTAACAAATTAATATCGTCGAATCCGTAAAAAGGCCGGATATCCGGAAATTTTATGTTCGTATATCAAATCTGGATATCCGAAAATTTCCAACTATCTGACACCCTTAGTGGCAAAATCTAATGGTGTGATAAGTCCGGGTTGTTCATAGGGAACAAGTGTTTTATGCCTAGCTCATGTCTCCACAAAATACGTTTAAGTTAATTAAAATATTGTTACTTTAAGACCCAATAATCCTCTCCCTCTAACTTTTCCTCATCTTCTTTATCTTTAGCGTTTCTCAAGAGCGCTTCAAATTGTTTTTTGCATTGAAAAATATTTTGGGAATTGATCGTGAATTCCTGAGAAAATTTTATTTGCACTCTCTTCGGGATTGGGTAAGACTGGATTTTTAATTCATAAATTAAATAAAAATAAAATTACTCTTTTACTAAATCCAGTTGTCCTTATATTCACAAGAATTCCAGGTAATTCTTCATTTTGAGTTAATTTTTCTTGTATAATTTCCAAATTTACATTAAATCTACTTTTAACCAAATAAGGAAGAGAACAAAATTTATCATCCGCAAATATATAATTTTCATATAAACATTTAACTCGAATCTAAAAATTTTTAGAACTAGAAATTGTTATATTTTATCAAAAGAAGGACAATTTATAAAACCCAATTCTAAAAGTCATAAAAACAAAAATTGAGGGACGGGTCGAGCTTTAAGAAAAAAGAAGGATCGGGGTTTAAGAAACTTCTCGAACCTGGTTTAGAGTCATAAAAAAGTTGGGGGGTTTGTGTGACTCGTCACACCCGCAGGTACTATATTATACTTCAAGAACCTGAATAGCAAGGAACCGAAACCTTATAGCCGAGGGATGTCGTTTTCTGGACCAAACCGAATTGAACCAAAAAACCGAGGATCTTTCGTTTGGTTCATGATGTCCAAAGATTTCCAAAAACAGACAAATTGTAGCCTTACGATCAATTAGTTATCTTAAATGATAAATTTATAGATACCTCATAATACTCCTCATTTATGATTTCCGTCTCCTCATTTATAATTTCTGGCATAATCCTTCCAGAAAACATAACATTTTTTATTGTAAAATTATTAACATTTTTAGAATTACTTTTTAAATTATCTCTCAAATCCTTTGCAAAATTAATTATTTTCGGCTTAATTTCTTTAAATTTTTCATTTAATTTTTCTCTTTCATAGAGTAATGTGGCTTTATTCAATGATATTTTGTCTGTTATTTTTCTAATAAACTTTTTGAAACCAGCTCCAGTTGAGCGGTGAAAATATAGAAAAAATAAAATAATTACAGGGATGAGGAGTTGATTTGATTTTATAAACATTTAAATTTCTGAAATAAATAAAGTCGACTCTCGATGTATAACAAAACTTTTAGAGTGTCCCAGACAAAGTCCCAGACCCTTTTCGGGTGTCCAAACTCTTTTTTATTGTCCCAGGCAAGATCGTGACTAGCTCACGATATAATAATATATAACAAACTATATTTTTGGTCACTTCAAGTTCGTTATATCGAGAGCCGACTGGATGCATAAAAAATTTTATATAAAACCTAGAAGTGCACTTATAGTGGCCAGTTAAAACAAAAACAGTTTTTGAACAATAAAAAAGCGAGAAAATAAAAAATTTTTTTATTCGGGATTTTCTCTGAACTTGTGCATGGAAATTTAAAAGTTTAATTAATTTTGAATAACAATTAAATTTAAATAAAAGAATAGAAATTTTGACTTTTACCTTACCTAGGGTAATTTCAAAAACCTCAAAAAGTAGAGAGAGACTGGGACCAAGAATGGATAATGCCACAAGAAAAGGTTTGAGTCAAGATTAAAGACCAAGAGGATTGGACAGCTCTATAAAAAGCTCTATAGTTAACCAATAAAATTTTATATTATTTTTTTTATTTAATTTATAATTTTAATTAAATAGCAAATTTAAATAAAAATTTCAAAAAAATTAATGCAAATTTAAAAACAAAAATGGAGAGGGAATATACAAATTAATTTAAATGGCAATAAATTAAATCAATTATAATAGCTAAAAATAAAATTAAAAAAAATTAATAGAGAAAAAATTTAATAAAAAAATTTTTTAGATAGACAAGGGTTGTAAAAGGGCAGTCAAAATACGCGGAAGCACTCGGCATCTTTTTTAAGTTGCCCTTTCTATCAGACATTTAATTGACGTTTTTATTTGCACTTTGGAAAATTTGTTTTTAATTTTGTTTTATTTTTAAAAATTTATTTAGAATTACGTTTTGGAAGTACTTTTAAAACTTTGTTTTATTTTTAAAAATTTATTTAGGATTACGCAATTTAGTTGGCTAGTCAATGTTTTGTCTAAAACAAGAAGACAACTAAGGACGTTTGGCATTTTAAATTCAAAAATCCGTTGTCCTTAAATTAGATGATTCACAGAACTCCGACATCATTCTTGTTGGGTATTGAGCTAATTTATAAGCCCGTCTACATATTATTTTGTCTGTGTCTCTGAGTTAATATTTGAATATTCTAGGGATCGAACTGGGAGTGTCGTACGAGAATCGAGCTCTCGATAACCGAGAATCTCTATATATTCTATATTCTTTTATTCTCTTCTGTCTTGAATAAACTAGCCTGGCTCAGAGGGACTGAACTCTGAACTGAACTGAACTCCGATTTCTATCCTTTTTCGTCTGATTTCCGCATAATTTTTGAAGCATTGTTTCGACTGAAGATTTTGTCTAAATTTCCAAAATTTTCACCTGTTGCGTTGAAAAAAGATTCTCAAATTTTAAGCTAAGTCGCTAATAAGAAGCTCTGTCTAGATAACATTAAATTTGAATTTTGGATCTTGGATTTTGAAAAAACTTAGTCATATTTCTATTGTACATGTTTATTGTTATAATGCTAGTTCGGCATACCTTCACAAAAGATTGTGATGAAATCCTAGTTGATAATAAAATAAATTTTGCAAAAAATTATTTTTTTATTAATTTAATTTTGCAAAAATTTATCTTGTGTTTCAAACTCCATATTTTATAAAAATATATTTAAAATAAAAATATAATTAAAACACAAAAAATAATAATAAATATTAATTTAAAAATAAAAACATGTGAATTAATGATGCTGAAGCATAACACAAATTAAATTTTTAGAAGATATTTTTAGAGAAATTCAGAAGAAAATTTTTAGAGAAATTCTTTGGGATAGTCGGATGATTTTTAAATAATTACTTATTAAGTTTTATTATATCCCAAAAATACCTTCTAAAAAATACCCAAGAAAAGTTGTGTAAACAAAAATAAAAATATGGCCAAAAAATTGAGTAAATCCCTTCTAATAATTTATTAAATATTGCCAAATTAAATTATAATTTTTATTTAATAAATTTCTCAATTTTATTAAAAAGACTAAAAAAATATTTTTTTTAATTCTAAAAAATGATTTTATTATTTAAATTTATTTTTTTATTTTCTTTAATTATTTTAAAATTAAATGCGCAAACGGCCGATATGGATAAAATTGGCGATTTACTTCCAGGGTTATCATTCAAGCCTAACTTTGAGCATTACTCCGGTATATAATTATTAAAAATTGGAAGTGCTTTAAAATAAAAAATAAGTATTGTAAGATATGTAAAAGACTAGCATCGGACAGGCACGGATTTTACAAAAATTTTAATTATTTTATCTCTAATAATTCAAGCTAGTAGCTTTCACTCAACACTTAAAGTTGAGCGACAGGCGACTGTCTACGACTCCCAACTTGAATATCTTGACTTTCTTACCTTCCCTATTAATAAATCCTAAACCCTCGCCTTGTTTTTAAACCCTAACCATTTGGATATCCCTTAGGATTCTCTCTCTTCGTTTTAAATTTACCCAACAGGATCACATTTCTTTCTTACATTATTCACAAAATACAGAAATTTTTATTTAAATTTTTATTTTAAATTTACTAAAATTCAAGGTTACCTGCCAGCATCAGAAAATGATATGTTGCATTATTGGTTTGTTACTTCACAAAATAAATCAGATAAATTGGTTATTTTTCATTTTTTACTTTGAGATTAAACCTCCAATCCTTTTATTCTTAGATTTTTTGGTTTAATGGCGGTCCAGGCTGTTCGTCTCTATTAGGGTTACTTGATGGAATGGGTCCTTATCTTATCAACAAAGATGGAAAATCGCTTCGTAAGAATGTGTATTCTTGGAATAAATACGCCTCAGTTGTCTATATTGAATCCCCCGTTGGTGTGGGATATTCGTATTCGCTTAATGGAAAGATAGAAAACAGTGACGATTATGTAATAATTTTTTGTTTTAATTTTTTAAAAGATATCTACACCTAAGTTTAGATATAACGAATACTTTCTCTTAAGAATCTCTTAAATAATTACCCTCACTAGTAATTGCCATATTTTCTACATAAAATCGAAATCGTTATCGAAAATTATATCAATTTTAATTTATCGAACACTAAGTATTTGTAATCAATGCATTGTGATCCATCCGATATACTGATCCCCTTCTCTATCAACCGCCTCCAGGAGAAAATTAAAAATTATTACCCAGGATAATTACTTGATCATATACCGGAAGCTTTTTAAATTTAGTACTAGATGGGATCACTACTAGATGGGATAACTACAAACGATACCATCTATTCAAGATAACTTGATTATAAAATAAAATTTTTTATTTCCTAAGGTGTAGCTCATAGGTAGTCCCTCTCTCTAAAATAAAATTTATTTTTAGACGGCAAAAATGAATTACGAGGCAGTTAAACAATTCCTTCAGATACATAATTCATATCGAAATTATTCAGTTTACATTACAGGAGAATCCTATGCAGGAGTATATATACCGATGCTTGCTTCTAAAATAATTGATGGACAAAAAAACTTTCGAATAAATTTAAAAGCAATTTAATTAATTTTTTAAATAAATTTTAAAAATATATTTGAAGGGGATCGCTATAGGAAACGCAGATTTAAGTGATATTTTGAATTTTAACACAGCTCCAATTTACGCCTACAACCATGGAATAATTGATGAAGAATTTTGGAATTTATATGGTCACAGATGTTGTAATGGGTGCGTGGGTAAGTTTTTTAAGTTCAAAAAATTTTTGGGGGTATCTTAACGCTAGGTCATGGGGTATATCCTGTTATAATGATAAAATGTAATGGAAGTGATCTAATAAGCTTGTCAAAAGCTGTTATATTCTTTATTGCACACGGTCAATCATATAACAGTAAGCAAAAATATCGGGTAAGGTAGCGGGTCTGCTTTTCGAAAGTTTCTTGGGTCAGGCGTTGATGTCTGGATTTCTGATCAAACTCCCCATCATTGAATAAATCCGACCGATGTTTCCCAGCCGTTAAAGTCATATACCATTATCAAACAGCCTGATCTAGCAGATTTAATAATTCTTTATAAATCTTCTAAAATCGCCTTTGATATTTTAACAAAAATTAAATATATAAATTAAGATGATTGCAATATTTACGAGTTTTTTATCAAAAATAATACAGAATGTAAAAGATATGTAAGTACATTCAGAATTTATTTTTTAGTTAATTAAATTAACTAAATTAAGACTAATAGAATTTTTGATGCTATGTATAATGGAAGACTTAATCCTTACGATTTATATCGAAAATGCGGTACACAAATATATTATTTTAAATTTAATACAATCGAATCTCACAATAAAACTCTCGAAGCTCACTTACACCCTCCATTCAGAAATAATCGTATTTTATAATAAAGTTGGTATAGAACTAGTATAGAACTACCCAAACTATGTAGTGTTGGCCTGAAAATCACTTTATATTTGGAGATATCTGCAAACGATATACGAAACTAACTTCCCTGGCATCCGGAATTTCTTTGGTTTGGTTCCCAAAGTAAAAACCGCAACCCTATATTAAATATCACGTCTTGGGTTATTTTTTAATGAGATCCTACATATTTTTACTTTCCTTTAAAATTTTTAATTTAATAATCTTCAGACAAAACTGATCAGAACGATTCAAAACAAAACAGTAATAAAAGATTTTATCCACTGCTTCATAATTTGATACTGTCAAGAATGGCATCAAAAAATTTATTATTAGAAAACAATTTAAAAACTGAAAGAATTTCCTATGGTTATTCATCTCCTTGCATTGATGGTTTACCCAGATTTTTAATTTTTTAATTAGTTTGTATTATAGATACACCTATAAATACTTATATGCAAAGCTCTGAAGGTTCAGAAAAATTTAAATAAAAATTTTAATATAACTAGGGTCATACTAAAAAATTTTTTTGTAGTTCAACTCTCTCTACATATACCGCAGAATCAAAAATTTGAATGGCAAGAATGCAACTTAAATGTTTCTAATTCTTATGACCTTCAATATGGTTAATAAAGCTAACTTTAGTTATACGATACACCTTTGGAGCTAAATATTTTAAATTTGAATTAAATCTATTTGAAATAGGAACACATAACATTTTAGGACAACCCGTAAATTGAGACGAAATTGAGTACTAATTATAGAGAAATAAGAAGTGATGAAAAGTGAGAGAATAAGTCATCACTCTCACTCATCCCTATGAAAGTAATAAGTAAGGTGTTCACGGTCGGTTAACCGAATCGAAACAGAGTGTCGTAAACCGGTCAAAACCGAAAACCGGGCGAACCGGTTAATAATCGGTATTGGACAACCCAGTAATAAGTCATTAATTGAAGTATTTAGGTTCAGATAGAATATGTATGAGATGGTGAGTGATGGGGAATTAGAGAATGTCTGTCCTCACTATCACTGATTCCTAATCGACACTTAATACACTCAATCGAGATATATCTCAAATTGAGGTCAATCCACTTTTGAGTGTATCTTATAGCTAAGTCCTAGTATCATTTAAATAAATAACCTTTTATCCAATCAAAGATGACATGACACCTTTTGTCAAAAAAATTTTAAAATCAAATATAAAGACAATGTTTTATTATGGCGATACGGACACTGTTTGTAATTTTCTTATAGGTCAAAAATTTTCGGAACAACTTGGATATAAGGCATATTTTTATTGAAAATATACAGCCTTAACTTAATTTTAAGGTAAAAACTCCAAAGCGTCCATGGCTTTTAGATGGACAAATTGGTGGATGGGTGACTGAATATTATGGGGATTTGACTTTCTTGACTGGTAAATATTTTATTTTATTTTAAATTTAATTTTAAAATAAATATTTATTTTTATTTTTACAGTTAAAGGAGTCGGACATATGGTAAAATAACGAGAAAAAAATTTATTTAAAAAAATTATTTCAAATAAAAATTATTTAGGTAACTAAATGGGCTCCAGCTCGAGCTGAATATATTATTAAGCAATTCTTGATGGACAAAGAAATATAATTTGGAAAATTTATTCATGTTTAAATATATTTTTAATGATCGGCAGGCTTGCTAAAATATTTAAAAATTAAAAAAAGGCTTATGGGTCCTATAAAATTTCAGTTGGTAAATTTCCGTTAGAGTTTGTGCTTTCCTTGGAAGAGTTATCTATTATCAGGAATCATTTAATCTAATTTCTAATACAAAAACTCTAGGTTGGTGCCCTCCCCCTTCTTTAGTGAGGTATCTTTGTTTAATGATAAGTGCTGCCTGAAGAACCTGCTTGAAAACCCTGCTTCGGCATGAAAAACCCCCAAAGGAAAAATTCCCCAGAAGCCGTTAATCTCATATAAGCACAAGCTCTACACCCTACGAGTAATTAACAAATAGAAGCACATTTGGTTCTATTTTAAAATTTATATTATCATTAAACTAACGATAACTAAATTTAAAATTGTTTATTAAATCATTTAAACAAGAATTTTCAACAATAAATTTTTCATTTTTAATAATTAATAAATTAATTTTATTAAATATTTTTAAATTTTCCCAATCGATGTACATTAAAGCATTAAGCGGAAAATATTTCTCAATTTATTATTTTTTTCTCGAGAGATTCCGCCATTAATTTAGATTTATTTTTATAAATAAAAATTAAAAAAAATTTAAAATTAATATTATATAGAAAGTTTAAATAAAATTTAAAAAATTATTTTATTTTCAAATTGTGAAGAGAGTGTCTTTGATAAATTATGTTTCAGCTTCATCCCTTGTTAATGAGACAATACTGTTTTATGATAGGAGGATCCCTGCTTCGACAGGAGGGAACCCCTTAGAAAAAATTATTTTAGGTTATTTGCCACATCTTGGGGAGGGAGGCTAGGCTGGCTAAACTGAAGCTCCTATTACTTAGCCTTCCGTTTTAGGTTCCGTTTTTTATAGAAAAACGGATAATATTAAATTAATTAAAATTAATTTATAAAATTAATTAAATTAATATAAATTTCTAATTAGTAATAATCTGAAAAAATTCTGATAACTCCCCTAGAGGTTTGAAGATAATTTTTTGGATAATTGTTGAATTAAAAAATTTTTTACAATTTACTAATCTTTTTTTACATTTTATTTTATTAAATAAATTAAATATTTAAATTAATGCTTCAATTATTATTATTCAAAAATTCTTTTAATATTTTATTTTTTATTTTATTTTTTGGTAATTTTATTATTTTAATTTTAATTTTTAAAAACCTCAAAAATTTATTTCCAAGTTTTTACATTCTCCCTCAAAAATGTTGAAAGTAAAAATAATAATGGAATATTTGCCAATTTAATTATTCAAACAAGTTTTTTCTCGAATATTCGGAAACACGATTTGCCCATAAATAAAATTAACAAAATTTTTGCTGATGAAGAATTATGGGAAAATTTTGAAGTTGCTGAGGCTAAATATGAGGAATCAAAAAAGTTTACTTCGATTCAGTTATCTCATTTTTCAATTCAAGAACTTGCTAAAAAGATAATAGGTCTACAATTATTTAATTTTAATCTTTAGTAAGATATAAGCGCGAGTGATTTTGTTAAAGTGATTGTTGTTTTGTTAAAGATTACGGTAAAAGTCCTAAGCAAAATATGAAGGTTGAAGAGTTAATAAATAACATAAAGTCAAGTAAACTTCTTCTGGAAGGCTGTTGAACGTAGATAGGGATAGGGGACCAAGATAAGGCATAGGAGTTATAGTGCTATACGTCCAATATCGGACCATCAGACAGTTCCTGCATTTAGAATAATAAAAAATTTTATTATACGTTGACATAATTCATTTTTCAAAAAATATTGAAACACAACCAAAAATCTTCAGGTTTTGGATAAGGGTATTTTTGAAATAGAAACTCCAAATAAGTACTTATAATTTCTCTTAAAAAGTTAATCTGTAAAAAATTATTTTTTATTAATCTAGGCCCAGATTTTCTGAGTTATGTTGCCGCCAAAAACATGTTAATAGCATTCAACGATCTATCAAACAAACTTTTATCTATTCCAAATTCTGAAGGAAATAAAAAAGAATTATTTAAGCAAAACAATTTTGATAATTGGAATATATTTAAAGAATTGTTTAAAACAGAATTTGAAAGTTTAATACCTTCAATTTCAAAAGATTTTAACGAAAATGATGCTGAATACTTGATGAAAAAATTCCACAATTTAATGTGGCATCTTGATGAAAATATTAAAAAAATGGAAAAATTATTTAAAATGATTTTTAAAAATTGTTAGTTATTTTATAAATAAAAATTTGAAATTATGTTTTAAACAGGCCATAGTAGACTGGTTAAACCTTTACTGAAAATTAATGATTAAATTTAATGTTTTTGTGTTTTAAGAGAAATATGACCCTTGCGTTACGTCCATATTAGTGTTACCAAACTGAGGGGTTCTTCTGTTCAGTTCCTAACCTAACCCATATCCATTGAAGTATGTACACCGAATACCCTGGACCCCGAATACCCCTAATAACCCTGGACCCTGAATACCACCTTCCCTTACTAAGGAACCATTTTGGATGTTCTCCATTTTGGGATTGATCTGATCTCTAGATAAGTCCCTTTGCTATCAAACTTTTATAAAATAAAACATACTACAATACTAGGTTTGATTTGATCAAAAAATCAGATCAAACCACCTCAATTCCCCAAAATGATTTTTGTTAGGATAAACTTTTAACAAAAAATTTTGATAAAATAAATAATAAAAAATCATTTTTCAGCTTATAAAGATTTACAGAACATTTCTCTTTTAATCTTTATTCATCATTTGTATTATATTGCATTGACTGAGATTAAAATCGAAATGGCAACTTCCCACAGTTTTAAATTTTATAGTCAATACAAGTGGTTAATGGCCACATTGGCCACAATTGGAAGTTCTATTCGCGATGAACTTAAAAGAGAAGGAAATTTTGGAATAATTAGTTTAATTCCAAATCCAATTCTTAAACCTATTTTTAAAATGGATAATCGTCCAGTTCCTCCTACACCTGCTCAATCACCTAATAGTTCAGTTTAAAGGATTATTTTAAGGAAGGATATTTAAAAATGATGTTTCAAGGAAGCTAAATGAGAGAAAAATGATGAGAGATTATTTATAAAATAGATAATTCTTGGATCAAAATTAATTTTAAAAATAAAGTTGTAGCATAAAATTTTAATTTAGTTTAAATTTAGTTGAAAAATAAAGTTAAATCTTTCCTCTATATTAAATACAAATCATTCACTGTGACTAGGAGAGCCAAATCCTCATATACGATTCTGAAAAACGCTGCCATATCAGGAACTTTTCGGTTCGGATAGGACCCTTATACCCGATCCTGATATTAAAGGATTTTTGATGATCAGCTAACCCTACCTGACAAAAAAGAGTCTTACATTTTACAATGGTAAATTTAGAAAATTGCTTTTTTTTATAAATTTAAAAATTCCAAACTTTTTGAATGACTATTTACTAATTTTAAAATATATTTGAAATGTCATAAAAATTTATTAAAACTTATTTAACGTTATTTAAACTTTATAAATATTAAAACGTGGGTGTAAATAATATTAATCATACAGAAATATTTTAATTTTTAACTTAAAGTTTATTTCTTTAAGGCTTTATATAAATTAGTAATTTAATAAAATAAATATATTATTTTTAAATTATAATAAATTTTTTAAATTAAAAATTCTTTTCTTATTTTTATAAATTATTATAATGCAAAAGGTATTTAATTATTATCAAATAATCTTAGGAACGAATAAATTCTTTAGACCCTATTATTATAGTAACCTGTCCCGGTTCAAGAATGATCTTTGAAAGAAATCGAGTAACCCCGGGTACCCCAAGATCAACTTCCTATCTCATATGGGGTACGACTGCGCATTATTGTCCCTTAAATCAGATCCGAGAGCTCTCGAATTAAGCTAGTTTATAGAGAAACACGGACTTGAAGTTAGAATTTTATCTCAATATTCAGATTTTCTTGCTAATCATCCTTTTTGGATTGGTCACCTTGTTAACCGCTAATAACTACGAAAATGGATACAATAAACCAACTCCAGCTCCCCCATCCAATAATTATTATGGATATCAAGGTCCCCCATCTGGTAGAAAACTTGCGCCACCAAAGGAAATTGAATCTACTACTGAAGAGCCAACAGAAGCACCAACGGAAGAGCCTGGAAATGAAGGTGGTGAGAACATTGACGAGGGTGGGGAGGGAGAAGGTACAGAAGAAGGGACTGGAGAAGGAGGAGGTACAGATGAAGGAACAGGAGGGGGTACAGAAGAAGGAACAGGAGGAGGTAAAGAAGAAGGGACAGATGAAGGTCAGGATGAGAGTCCAAAGGAAGGACCAGATGCAGGACAAGAAGAGGACGGTGGTGAGAAAGACGATGAAGATGATGTAGAGAATGATCCAGCCCCAGCACTTGGATGTTGGAATTGCAAGGATGGATGGTCCTGTTGGAAAGGTACTTGCTATGAAAATTGTGCCGGAAAATGGGGAGGTTGTGGTAAAGGATGGAAATGCTATCATAATTCTTGCTATAAAAAATGTGGAAAAAAATGGGGAGGATGCAGCAGTGGATACGTTTGTTATAAGATAATTAAGAAATATATCCTGATATTTTAGAATTGCCGCGGTAATACTTGCCAGGATTGGTGAAAATTATTTTAAGAAGGCCTGAACTTAAGGAAATGGCATAATGACTAACAAATATATTTCTTAATTTAAAATACGAATAAATTTATTTTTAATAATTGGTAAAGTACAATAAATTAAAAGTTCAAATAATTAATAATGGAAAAAAATTTAATTAATTTAATAAACAAATAAAAATATTGGTGAGGTTTCATAATTAAATAATTTTTTTGAAAAAACCACGAAAACGGATTTAGAAATAAAGGCGAGAGAGTCCCAATCTCGGTTCAATCTCTATTCAAGATCGGGGTTTAAAAATCGCGGAGAAATGAGAAGTAGAATAAAATGGAAGAGTGAGGAGGAGAATAAGGAAGGAAGAGTGAAAGGAGAATAATAAGAAAAATGGGAGTCTTTGACTTGAGGAAAAAAGATTCTGAAAGGTGAGCGAATGAAACAAACTGCTAGATAAGAAACCATCCCGTATTTCCAGAAGTCTGGACCTACAGTCCAGACCGCGCGATTAGAAGTCAAGTCCCGGCCCAGGTCTTCTTTACAAATTTCGACACATTTCATAATTTTTCCCCATAAAAAGGAGATTAAAAAAAGCCGCAAGTGCATCCACGAGAATAATATTTGTTATTGCCTATTTTAGAAAGGGCAAGTCTGTTTACTCAGACATTATTTTTTATGTCGGTAATTTGTTTTTAATGAAGCCGACAAAAACATAAAAATAAATTTTCTCTTGCACTCTTAAACAATTTTAAAGGAAAAACAATTTAAATAAAATTTGTAAATAATATTATACATTAATTTTAATTAAATAATTTTAAAATTTTATTAATAAAAGCAAGAGAAGTTAAAAATCTTAGAAAATGGCTATTTTTTCATTTAATCCCTTAGAATTGAGTACCGCTTTTTAATAGATAACAGATCATTCAGATTACAAGTTACTGATAAGAGTATCTTCTCTTCCACTTTTTTATCGTTTTGCAGAAAAATTATTAAAGATCAAGGACTCATAATGGTCAGATTATGTGCTAGAGATCTATATCCTCACTAGATCCTTGCACTTGATCAGGATCCAGTCTGGATTTTCCCTGGATCTAGAGTCCAGATCCAGTCTTGGATTTTTTCTGGATCTGGACTTTTCCTGGATCTACATCCAGACACCTGTCCAGGTAACTAACCCAAACCAGATCCAGAATCCAGATCCAGGATTTTTGAAAATACCGGTTTCTAGTCCTGACACACTGTGTGCCTTTTACCATTATCAGGGCCTTTACCCTTCTAATTTTTCACTCTTCAATAAACCCGTAATTATAAGACCTACATCATTCATATAGAGAGATCTGACAATATTTCAAAAAAATTTTTAGAAATGAGGACAATCTTCATTTTATTATTATTTTCTTTGTTGCCAACAAAAAATGAGTCAACAATAAATAAAAATAAAAATGGATATTCATCAAAAGTGATGTTAAAACACGAAATTAATTCATTTTTAAATTCATTCCAACAAAAATACAACTCATTTTTGGAGGTTAAAGAGGAAAATAAAATAATTTGGGATAAAATAATAGAAAAAAATTATTTTTTAAAAATGTGCCTGATTAGCGAGAATTTAAATTTGGAAAGTAAAATTAAAGAAATTAAATCTGACATATCCCTTTTTCTTTCGAACGGGTATCACGAGAATATCCCTTATATTAACACTCCAAGCAGATTAAAAATGGCAACGTTGGGGTTGAATGAATTGGAATTATTTGATCATATGATGGAACTTATGCGAAAATATTTGGATTTATATGAGGGAAATAATTTAAGCGAGGAGGAGAAAAATTCCAATTTTTCGAGAAAAAAATGGGACTTGCCGAAGAGGTTTAATGATTTGAAAATAAATTCTTTGGAAAATAAAAAAGATTGGGATAAATCTGATGATGAGGAAGTTATTAAGGAAGTTGTTATTGAAACTAAAATAGAAGGGAAACCTGTAGAGGAGGAAGAAGATGGAATTTTAAATATTGAAGATTCTGAAGCTCCTCGGGCATCATCTTCAGGTTTCTATTTTTTATGAAGAATAAAAATATAGTGGGGATTACTGAAGAAATGGAGTAATTTTTACGGATTTCTATACACTATACCACATCCAAATAATCTGTATCTGTATAAATAAAAACAAATATATGGAAGGAGCGTCAAGGTAATCTGAGAAAATAACAAAAGATCCGATGGGGCTTGATCATAATAGCTCTCCGATTTTATTTCTTGCTTTGTTTGCAAAGCTGTCTGACCAAGAATTTATTCGCTGGCCATAATAATTATAACGAAAAAATTACCCAAAATAAATATTCTCCAAAAATCTTCTAAGAATAATATTTATAAATTAAAAGAAACGGCATACAGAACTCATTCTCATTCAAATTCAAAAAACAAGGGAAAAGGTATCGCTGTATCCCCTCAGTACCTAATTGGCACACTCTACCATCTTCGCCGCGAAATGAACGAATTCACAATGAAAACAAAAACAAATTTGTGGGCAAGTCAAAGCCCAGAATCACTTGAAAAGTTTAAAATAAATATTGAAAAAGATTTGGAAGAAATAAAAATAATTAAGGAAAATACTTTAATTAATATTGAAAGGGAAGGGAAAATTGAAGGAATTATTAAAGAATTTATGAATATTAAAAAAATTAATTCTTTTAAAGAAATAATCAGATCTAAGGATGATCAAAATTATTTAATTAAAATTATTAATGCTATTGTTCCTGAAGTAAATTCATGCAAGGATGATATTTTGGTATTAAAATTTTTGAATAATTTTTAATTATAATACAGTCTACTCAACATATAATGAGTAATATTTCTCTCTAAATTGATTCTAGATTTAATACACAGCTCGATATAACACCTCGATATAATCTCGGTATAACTAGAGATCGAACCGCGACTAGGTATTGGTTCTCGTAAGAATATCGGTTCTCGTAAGAGATTAAGTTCTGACGTGCTCTGATGCTGGTAGAAACAATGCTAACTATGCAGATAAATCGCTAGCTCAAATAAATCTGTAGCAACAATGTTAAATTCGTAGCACTGTCTGCAGCTAAAGTCCAAAATTATCGGTAGCTTAGCTGCAGATATCCATCAATCGTCTAACTGAAAGTATTTTTAACAAATATTTCAAGATCAAAGGTAGATTAAATAAATTTTATTTTTCAGAAACTCGAAAGTATTCGTTATTATGAATTATTAAGCAAAACGATGATCGAAATAAATAATAATTTACATAGCGGAATAAATAGCAATACACCTTTTGATAGATTAAACGAATCTGATCTGGATAGTTATTTAATTAATATTTATTTTTTCACCAAATTATTGAAGGAATATTTGGAAAAAGAGCTGAATAGGGATAAATCAGTTATGGTAAAAATAGCAATTTATTTGAACAACCCGCTCTTTGAAAATTTTAATGAAATCGTTTCTGTAATTAAAAAATTACCGGATATGCCAAAAAATTTATTTCCGGGCGAAAAAATAATTGGAGAATCGAGGGTTGAGGAAATTTATGAGGCTAGAACGGAGAACAAAATTAAAGAAAGTATAATCAAAAATGCAGTAAATATACTTTATATTTACTGGCAAATTAACAAAAATGATTTTTTGGGTGAAAATGTGAAGCAATTTGCGATAAAGAATTTTAGAAATGAGGTAGCTTTGGTTTACTGTAGATATATAGATTAGATTATACATCAGGGATGGTCTCATGGATATTTTTAAGAAGTGGAAACCGGAAGTAAATAAGCGGAGGCAAAAAACCTCTTCCTCTCTTCGGGAAGCGGAAGAGGTCGTTGGAAGCTAGACACTTTTTAAAATTCCCCGTCCTCCTCGAAAATCTCCCGGAAGATCTATCCCAAAATTCAACCCAAAATCCTAGTTGAGTAGCAAAATCTTACCAGGAGTTCTAGATTAAAGAGAAAATTTATTTTTTTTAATTTAGCTGTTTGAGGAATGGATGAAGTCACAAGAACAGGAAGCTCGTGGAAAGATTGGGCATAATAAAATAATGAAACCAATTGAATTAATTTTATTTGAACGTTATAAACAAAAATTTGAAGAGACTCATCCCTCCACACATTTTTTCTATTCATCCTCCCCAAATACATCAAAATCCACAAATCAATCCTTAAATGAAATTCAAAGTTTGGACGATCCATCTATGCAAGATTCAGCTTCTACCGATTATTTATTAAATCATAATAAAAAGAAAAGGAGAAGTTTGAGTTTTGGGGGCCTATTTTGTGTTGGTTCTACTAGCAAAAATAATGAGGAATCGAGGGATATATCTAAGGTATACTGTAGTTAATTAAGGTTTTAGGAGGGATATACAGATAATACTGGATTAGGTAAGATCTTTTTTATATCATGAACTAGGTGTAGAAAAATTAAGAGTAATACGAAAGAGCCTCGCTATAATGTACACACCGGGGATCACGCCGACCCGATACACACTTCCCGAAAATCGTGAATTTGGCTTATTCCACGATATTCTCGTACACACTTATGGCATCCTCCCCGAGCATACCATGTGGAATCTTTTCCAAATAAGAGATTGGAAGTGATTGAGTTTTTTTAGTTCTCAATAAGGTTCATGTTGATATCACGGATTAGATAGGAAAAATAAAAACTAGCATCTGAGTAGGAGCTAATCCCATCTCCAAAGATTAAAAATTAATTTCAGAATTCCAAGAAACGCGGGAAAGGAAAGATATTAGCAAATAAATGTAAAAAGAATTTATTGAAATTTTGGAATGCCAGGAAAATTAATAATAAACGTGGGAGGAAATCTTATAAACAAATAATGAGTATTAATTTGAATGCTCCTCATAATACTCCGGAAAGTGGATCGCCTGTAACGAATGAAAATAATGATTCTTCTGATAGTGATGAAAATATTTGTTTAATCACTCGATAGAGATTTTTCTGAGATAATTTTATGTCGTTAGATACTATTAACTCTCATTGTAAGTGCACAGCAAGGAACTTACGTTCCAGAATTGACTCTCTTCTAGGGAAGTGTCTTTATGTTAAAATCCGATTCAGGTTTAAATTATGAGCCAGTGACAGTTATGAGGTTAATAATTTATGAGTACAACGGTGGGTGTATCTCTGGGGGAAGTATCTCTACGGGGAGTATCTCTAAGGAAACATGGGAGTATTTCGAAGGAAAATTTAGTTCACAGGCAAGAAATCGGCCTTGTCTAATTCAAGAGTGGACTGAAAAATCTCTCTCTCTCTGCAATGATTTATCGATATAACGATCTTGAATCTTGAAATCCTCAAGCCCGTCTCTCTCGTCCTTCGATTCATAAGCCTTCTTTGGGTTCATAAACCATTGTTTGTACTGATAACGATTCATTTAGACTATAAGCTGGGCAAAAGCCTAAACCTGTCTATTGGAGATTAACACGTATCCCTGTGCTTTTAAATGAGAGCCGTCCACCTCTAATCTATCAAAAGTATCTTTTTTTCCGAAATTCGTTCTTTATTCTATATTTTTATTAAAATTATTTCGTCAAAACATTTTCGAATAATACTTTTTTCCATAAAATTTTCAATCATTTGTTTTTTAATCGTCCTGTGCTGCCACTTTTGGAGCGCTCCATGCATATGGGTCTTCTGGCTAAAAAATTTTTCATGATACTCCAAGATACTTCAAAAATTAGCTCACTTTAGGTGCACGATTTACTTTGTGGGCAGTAATCATCTGGTAGTCTCCAGCGTCCTTAGGTCCAGAAGGTATCGAGTCAATGTCACGTGCTACTGCACTACAAGAATTTTAAAAAATATTTCAACTAATCTTTATTTTTTACATATTTAAAGCTCCAGGCATAAATTCGGGTGTATACGAGTATGTTAGGGTCTTTCTGGCTCGTAATGGCTGGTAGCCGTGGTAGATACCGTCTTTCAATTCTTGATAGCGGTTGTCGCCTTCACCCTTGTCGACCATTTTGAATTATTTTCTAAATTTAGAAAATTAATTAAGATTAAAGAAATTTTTTTATTTTTATAATTAAGACTGAATAACAAAAAATCACTGAGTAGACAAGATTAATAGAATATATTAAATTTAAAAGAGGATTTTTTAAAGTTATTTAACCAATAACTCAAGTCCAAAGACTTCCTTGTTCTAAAAATTCTAACAGTTCAGCTCCTATTTTAAAACGTATTTTTAGAACGTATTTTTAGAAGTTTTACGATTCCATAAACATGGAGAAATAGATTCCCCTAAGTTAGGGTAGATACGGTAACTAATAATTTTAAAATTATATCCCAAATGTTTTGTGATCTACTATAAGTAATAGAAAATTTTTAAGACTTATTTGAGACGTCCTACACTCGATTTTAATGGATGGAAAATTTTCGGTTCTAAACGTCTCTGAAAATATTAAAACGGATAGCTCTCAATAATAAAGTTCCTAAGTCTGAATTTACAAGGGAGTTGATTGGGAAGGTTTTAAAATTTAAAATAATTTTAAAATTAAAAAAAATAAAAATCTATGTATGTATTCTTTAATTTTTAAAATAAAGTAAGCATTTTATATTAAAAATATTTTAACAAAAAATTTTCAAATAAACTAGATATTTGTTAAAACGTCTGACATTTTATTGTTCTTATTTATAAAGAACATATGCCATTTATTTTTCGCTTCCTTCCTTCAACCGTTTAACGTCAAATGGCTTAAAAATTAAAAATCCCCCAAAATCAATTCTCTTTCAGATTTTTTTAATATTTGTTGAGAGATGAGTAGAACATCGGTCTTTTTTTCTTCCGATTTTTTCTCTTCAAAGCTTGTGGATATATTTATTTTTATGTTTATGGCATATAACAGGTGTGATCCCAAAACCTTGTGGGCTAAAAGTTTTTTGACTTGAATTCATGCGAACTTTAAAGTTTGGAATTGGCCAAAGTTTTTTTTGTGAAAATGGATTTAAAAAATTTTTTAATGAATGAATAGGTCTGGTAAAAAATATTTTGGAAATGCATATTAAAACGGGATGGCAAAGAGCTCGTTATTGAAATGCATGTTTTCTTGCTAACTATCTCGACATCTCGAACAATACACATATCCTGCCTCAGTTGGACATAATTATAAAATGATTCAAAATTCGAGTTAGGTGAATGGCATATGAATAATTAATTATTGAATTAATATATTAATTATCAAATTAATACAGCTGCTTGATTTTTGTAAATTTTAAAGGAAATTGGTGGAGCTTGTTTTCTGGATATCAGTCTTCCTGAAATTATCTCAATAATTTTGTTAGATTCTTCGTTTATCCGTCCCGTTTCTCGTGCCTGGTAGAGTAAATGATTATCGAAACGGCCTCTCAGATGTACCACAATAATCTACGGAATAATCACAGAGGATCAGAGAAATGATCGTTCGTATTTTTTTCAAAAATATGTACATATATTAGGGTTCGAATATCAACTCGATCAGAATCTCTTCGCATTCTAAATAAATTTTATTTATTATTTAATTTATTTACACCGTTCAATGTTTTCCTTTAATTTTATTTATTAAAATATTTGTGTGGTTGGTCTTTCTAATAAAAGAAATATTAGGGGGAAATATAATTATTACCAAAAAGTTTTGAGTAAAAAACCGGTTCCAATTACCCTCCTAAAATGTAAAAATAACGCGCATTCCTTTAAAGAATTATTTTTATTTGTTTTTGTTTTATTTCCTGTGGGGGCGTCCAAATTCCTTTTATTTTATTAAAAAATATTTTTTTATTTTTTAATTATCTAAATCATAAAAATTAAAAATTGAAGTCAAACTGATTTATATTTCTAATTTTTTAATTATTTATTTTATAATTTATTTTAAATTTTTTATTAATTCAATTTATGTATAATTTTAAGTAAATCTATCTTCCTAAAATATTTTTATAGCTAATTAAAAATTTCTAATTCTTAAATTTTGAAAACCTGATTTCTGAATATGAGATAATCAGATGTCATGCCTAGGTTGAAGTCAGTTGGTCCAGGTTCGATGCCTAGAGGCACGTGGCGACTGCATTATTTTAAGCCCTGAGTAGTCATAATCAAGTGTTGTCCCTTTTTTATTACTTAATCATGATCATCTTAAAAAGTTAGGTATACTATCCGAATTGAAAATTATGGACAGAGATCCCTCTTTAGATATATCTTTTGATCAATTCGTTTCCACATTATTGAATTAAATTCAAATATGTAAATATTATTTACTGCTTAATTAGGATTGAAATTAATTAAGAATAAATTTAATAAATGCTAAAAGCAACACATAATTTGCTTGTTCCTAATTGGAAAGAAGACGTAGTTTACTTGATTATATTTCCAAGAACTCATTCAATTCCTTCCTCATCCCCTGCATCATTAAAATTAGAAACATGGCTTAGAATGAATAATATTAAATATCAGGCAAATAAATTTATTTTTTATTTATATATTGTGGTTAGAAACAAGAAAAATATTTATGAGATAGGTACAAATTTAAGTGATTCTTCTATGTAGATCTTTATCAAAATCCAAGGGCATTAGAAGAAAAGTTTATAAGACCTTTTCAAACTAATTAAAAATTTAGATAATGGATACCCTTCTTCCTTAAGATCAAAATATTTCGTTAAAACTTCAATCTGCATTGTATTTGGATAGGAACCTTTTTTAATTAGGTATTAGACCAACTCAAAGTCATAAAAATTAATTAGCTCAATTTTCTCCATCAGCTTAAATTGTTAAATTTTTGATTTCTCAAATTTAGTTTAAATTCATTTTAAGAATGTGAGTAACCAATTTAAACATGCTTCTGTGAAGGGCCAAGTCCCGTTTATCGAATTAAATGGCCGTCAACATGCTGACAGCAATTTTATCATTGAACATTTACGTTCACACTTTAAGTTGCCTATCGACGGAAATCTTAATAGTTCTGAACGTGCTAATCTACGAGCTTTTAGTTTGCTTATTGAAGAATCCTTCTTTAGGTAGAAAAATAATTTTTTAATTCCATAATTTTTTGGTTATTGTGATTTGAAGACCTATAGGATTACATTATAGTAGTCCCACAAGAACTCTAAAATTTTCGGAAATTTTTTGTGTTAAGTTCAATTAAAATCTACGTACTAGTGTGCTGCTCTAGCCAACTAAGGCCTCAATATTATTAACATTATTAGATTATTCAAAGATAATTCATAAAAATTTTTCAACAGTAATCTTCGAGTTATCTGTTAAAGCTTTACTAGAAAACCCCAAATACGTTACAGATTAAATTTGAATTTAAAAATATTTCCGAAATACTTTTCTATATACAAAGGATTCAAAAAATCATTATTTAATTAAAAAATATAACAATTTAAAACAGGTGCCTCCAGTATGATTTTAGCATTAACGCCTCATGGATTGGAACAGATTCAGGCTATTTACCTTATTTTACTGGCGCCAAAAAATTTATCGCAAAAAATTTAATACCCAAAAAATTTCAATATACGGTAAGTTAAAGAATTCCAAAAATAATTTTAAATTTAAATTAAAGACAAAGAAAACGCTTAATGCGCAAGGCTATGGGCGACATTCAGCTAATGAAATTGAGGATATCGCCAAAAAAGATTTGATGGCCCTATCAACATTTCTTGGGGAAAAGCCCTACTTTTTTGGAAACCAACCTTCAACGGTGTGTTGAAATTTTTTTGTTTTTTTTCAAATCTCTCGCTTATATTTTTGCTTTTTCCATACGTGCTAATGAGACAGACGATCGCTCAAAATCTCTCGTGATACCCACACAAACATCATTTAAATTATATATTTTTTTCGAGCTAAATAACCTTAAATTATGAGTCCTAAATGGATTTATGGTCTAAGAAGATATCAATAAATTTTTTGTTTAATATGTAGCAGTGTTGTCGCGGGTACAAAAAATCTTCGGGTACGGGTTTCGGGTTGGAAAATTTTCTTTTTGGGCATAGGGTTTCGGGCGGCAACCCTGATATGCAATAAAGCCTTTCAATTTTTTAATTCAATTTTATAAGCTTATTAAAGATTTTAATTTAGCTAGATGCCACAGCATTTGGATTTTTAGCAACTTCACTTTATGTGCCCCGGAATTTAAAAGAGATAAATCAATTTATAGAAAAAAGTACCCCAAATCTCATGGAATTTGTGAAACGGATGAAAGAACAGTTTTGGCCAGACTGGAGCGAAATTTGTGAACAATTGGCATTAAACACAGAGGATATAAAGAAATGAGAATATCGGGAAATATCCTGAATATACTTGAGAATATAAAATAAAAATATATTTAATTTTTAAATATCTATGAGTAATATTATGTACATAATTTTCAAATAAAAATACTAAATAAATTATATAAAAATATAAAATATAACCAAAAAAATTTACTAAAAAATAAAAAAAAATTTTTTTAACGTCATGTACCGCAGTTCCTCGATTACTTACCCTAGTTTACATATACCTGGGTAGATAATTACCCTAGTTTATACCTGGGTAGATAATTGCCCTAGTTTATACCTGGGTAGATAATTATTACCTAGTATTACCTAGTATTACTAAAATTAGTAATTTATCTACAAGATTGACACACCTAGATATTTATCTAAATTAATAGACCGAAGGTAATTAATCGAGAGAATACAGTATCCTCAACTTCGCCCTTTTCTCGAATTCTTATTTTTTGTTTTTGAATATTTTTCTTTTTTATTTTTGGTAGCTTTACCTTTTTCCTGAAAATAAAAAATTATTTAATAATTTAAAATAAATCACCAAATCTTTCTGTTTTGGCAAAAATACAAAATTGCCGTTAAGGTAATTATCACAACTATTTGGAGGTATAAGCTTGTTATGATCCAGTGGGTTTTCTTTTCGCAAATTTTGGGTAGGTCCATAATATAATTGTGAATATTGTCTGTATAGTTGTTTATTTTCATTTTTTATTTGGAATTTATTAGTATCATCAATTGTAGTTTTATCATAAATAAATGAGGATATTCTTTAAATTAAAAAAATTTTTTAAATTTATTTTTTGTTTTAATAAGGAATAAGGTAATGAATCCAGCTTTAATACTTTGTTTATTTAGTTAAGCCTCCTCCTTAGTTAAGCCTCGTTAGTCCCACTAAAAATCTTTGGATATCCTTGGAAATCTTCGGATCCGATATCGGCCCAAAATTTTTAGATATCCGGACCGAAAATCGGATCCGGATATCCTGATCTGCCAACCTTATTCCCTATTAAGTCCCGAGAAAATAATAATCGAAATCCCAGTTTATAGATAATGTTTTATATTTTAAGCTTTTATTAGCCATATTATTAGACTTATAGAATAAAGAATATGCTAACATTAAAAATTAAAATTTAGAATTTATTAACTAACTTTTGATCAATTTTTGATTCACTCACAAAAAATGAAAATACGATTACTGATCCTTTATTTAAATTTTTTGTATAATAATTAAGCATTTCAATGCTCTCTTTGGCAAAGTTTATAACTTCATTTTCAGCATCATTAATTAGTTTAATGCCAACAATCCAAGTTGTACATGGTCCATATAATCTGTTTTTAAATTTAGTTATTTCAGTCAAACCAAGCAACATTCAATGGGAATATTGTTAATGTAGTGTCAATACTTGTGGAAATATAATTAGATATATTGAAAATGTTGGCCAAATCTATCGTGCTCTTGAATCACCCTTACATTCAAATTCAATATTACGAGAAATTTTTATATTAACACAATAAACTATTAACACAATTATTCTTAGTTATCATTAAACTATTTCGAAAACCAAGATTATTGTTGAAATATCCTTCCGGTCTTGTTTCTGTTTATTATTGTTGTACATATAGCTATTTAATTCCTAAGTTTGTGAGTCCGATCTACATAAGACCAAGCTTAAGACCGGACTGACTGACCGGACCTTTTGCACTAGCTGATGCTTTAAATGCCTAATTTGGATTAACATTATATGTAATCTTTTGAGCTCCCAGTTGAATTCCAGAAAATATTTATGAACATACCCTTCAATAAAACAACTTTCTTCTTTTCTTTGAAAACTACTGATCACATGATAATGCTCAATTTGATCTTTTATCCTGGCCAAATCCGCCCACTTAAATAACGTTCTTCTTAATTTTGCTTTTACAGAAATACAATTATTATCTTTTTGTATTTCCGTCTCCAAACACGTAATTAAAATAAAATAATTGTAATATTTTTTATGATCAAAATTTTCAAAGAGTTTTAAATAATTATTGTGTCCTTCATTTTGAACTAAATTGGAAGCTTAAAAATAAATTTCAAAAATATTTTTTTGAAAATTTTTCAAAAAACCTTCTTTCATGATTTTTGTAATTAATTTTCTTGTATTCAAATTAACATTATATGCTGTATTCTGTTCGGGATATAAAGGAGAGATTACAGGCATCTGATCGCCTTCATGCCCATTATATTTGTCAATATCTGTAATCTCCCAGGGTCTTAAATCTATGTCTTCTTTTGAATTAAATTGTTGGTTTGTGTTTAATGGTTCTACAAGTACGGGCATTGGCCAATCCCTGTAATTATAAAGTCTAATTATTAAGAGATTGCTAAATAATTGTCAGCATGTTTCAATCTAAATTTTAATTGTTTCCTATGTTCTGGGTTACTATTTTCCAAAATATCAGAAATCCTTTCGATTAAATCCAATATAGGTTTAAAAGCTGGGTTGTCCGCTATCGTGATGATACCCCAAAGGTTCTGATAGATACCAGAAAAAAACTATAAGGCATGAGATAGAGATTCTGAAATGTCGATATGGTCAGATACTGATATTTGTCAACCATATTTTAAAAAAAACAAACCAATTTGCAAATGTCAAAAAGAATTTTTTAATTAAAAATAATAAATTTTCTGATGTATAAATTAAAATAATTTTTGAGCACATAATTGTTAATATAGTTCCACTTAAATATCCAAACATATTTGAATAAATTTCATTTTCTTAATTTAAAATTTAAAAAATATTTTATTAAAAATTACTTTTTGCCCATAATTTAATAGTTCGAAGTAAATTTGTAAAAATTGGCCTTCTTCCATCATCAATGAGAAAATATTTTAATCTGTAGGCGATTCGATATCCTTTAAATTTTTATTAAAAATAAATGAAGTAGAATGAGCACCAGAGCCGGGCGCAATTTGAAAAAATTTTTTCGCATCCGCAATTGAACCCAGCCCTGATGAGCACACTTAAAAGATACAATCATAAGGGATTGAAAGAAAAAATTAATTAAATAATCAGGTTAGTTTAATTAGGGTGTATCGTTCAGGCAGCTTCCACTCCCAACGAATGGTCAACCATATTTAAAAACCATAGGTATCTTTAATCGAGGTGTATCACTTATTACGTGTGTAGCTCATAGTAATTAGGAAAATTCTAAGTCATTTTTGAATGTCTATGATAATTAACCTGCCAAAATTATGACACTTTTAGTTAATACTTTTTTCTCATCTGCATTAACCATCTCTTCAATAATCCCATCAATCTTTCTCAAATTATCCAAAATTATTTTTCTACTTGTATAATTAGTTAAATCTCCATATGGTGTATTTATCTTAGGAGCATCAATTGCAAACATTATATCAATTTCTATATTTTTATATTGTATTTCAATTAGTGGTACTCTTCCATAAGGTATTGAGTTGACCTGATAATTTACTATATTTATTTGTTTTAGTAGAATTTTGCTAATTATTATATGTCCAATAAATATTTATAAATATTCCTTCCCTGAAACACTCGTGTTTTTCAGGTTGTGGAACGAGTTTTCATTTTTTCGAGTGGGGTTCCGGTTGTGGATAATTGTGTGAATAAACTTTCGTTTCATTCTTGACATTAATAAACAAAATTTTTATTTAAAACCTTTAAATCCTCTCTATCATTTTCAAGTAATTTCATTGTTGAATTAAACGTATCCACTCCATCACCAAATAGAAAATCATGTTCTTGGCAAAAACGCCCAGAATTAAAATTCAATTTGCATTCATTACATTCTTTAACAACATTTGGAATAAGACAGCGATTTGGAAGTAAAAATATAATATCCAAATCGGAATCTGATGTTGCTGTTTCTAATAAGGATGAACCACCAACGATCATTGAATAATCCGCTTTAATATTTAATAATAATTTATTTAAGATTTATTGGGTAGATGATAGATGATAATACTTATGGGGATAAAAAATATGAATAGTGATAAGAATTATTTAATATTATTTATGAAGTTATTATTTTTTTAGTTATTGTTATTATTTTATTTTTAGTTATTATAATTTTTTAGTTATTTTAGTTTTTTTTAGTTATTATGTAGTTATTATTATACAAATTAAGAATCTGATCATAGACTAACGATAGCCATCACATCGTTTTTACCTCAACATTCATAGCAGACTTGGTAATATACATATACGGCAGATACAGATGGATATCCGAATACATTTTAAAATTATTTGTATGTATCTATATCCGTATCCATTACCAAGTCTGCTTCATAGAATGAAAGTAAAATTAATAAAAGTAATAAAAACGTATAGGTATATTAAATCGCATATACCTATATTTTATAAAGTACCTTTATATTTAATACCAACAGAACTACATTGTTTATTCAGCCACATTTCTACTTGTTTTTCTATCCATTGAATAGCTTCCTTCCTTTTAGCTTTTACATCATCGTCCAAATGATAAATTTTATCCAAATATTTCCTCAACTTAAAAATATAATAATTTTTATGATGTAATAATTATTAAATATAAATCACCTTTCCATCATCCTTTCCATGATCCTTCCCTTCATCAATTTTTATAATTTTTTTCTTCTCACCATTTCTATTATTTTCATTTGCCCTTTCAACTCCTTCAAATTCAATGTAAAACTGATTTAATATTTCATATAAATTGGAATTTTTCCATTTATCATTCAAAACTTTGGTTATCAATTTATTTTCCGAATTAAATCTATCCATCTCACTTCTCAATGTATTATCTAAAAATTTTAGTAAATTTCCAAATTTTAACAAATTCCAAAAATTACCCATAAATTGTTGATCAAGCATTATACGTGTTCTCTTCAATCTAATTTCAAATTCTCCTATAAATTTATTTATCAATTTATCCTGCTCATTAACCGATAGATCCTTTTCTGATGTATCAATTATAGGGTAAAGATTCGCAAAGAATTCAAATTTTATTTGCCCATTTTCCTCGAGACATTTATCACCAAAATATTTTTGAAAATATTCACGATCAATTAAGACTTGATCTTCTGTATTATTACAAGCATTCTTAGCGAACATATTTGATAAAAATGTTAAGCGAAGATGTGAAATTATAAGGGGCATTTTTGAATAGTTAATTAATGTTTTCCTTAAATATTATTGAATTAAATAACTTTGAAGAATTTATTAAACATGAACTCCTAAACCATAATCTCCTATTAAGTTTAAACTAAAGTATAGAAAGCTAAGTAAATTAAAGTTTTTATACTTAAGAAGTTGAGTTTAGATTTAAGATGAGTTTAGATAAAATTGGTAGTCTTAAGGTTTATTTAAAGTTTTAAGCTTAAAAGTAAGTTTCTTTAAAGTTGGCTATTATAAGTTGAATTAAAAAAGTTGGTAAACTTAAAGTTTATTTATAGTTGGTAAGTTTAAGTTAAGTTTATTTATATTTGATAAGCTTAAAAATAAGTTTATTTAAAGTTGATAATTTTAAGTTAAGTTTATATAAAGTTTGTGAACTTAAAGTTTATTTAAAGTTTGTAAGCTTAATATTAAGTTGATTTAAGGTTGGTAAGTTTAAGCCAAGTTTATATAAAGTTTGTAAACTTAAAGTCTATTTAAAGTTGGTAAGCTTAATATTAAGTTGATTTAAGTTGGTAAGTTTAAGTTTATTTAAAGTTCGTAAACTTAAAGTTTATTTAAAGTTGGTGAGCTTAAAACTTGCTTTATTTAAGGTTGTTGAGCTTAAGTTTATTTAAAGTTCGTAAACTTAAAATTTGTTTAAAGTTGGTAAGCTTAAAATTAAGTTCATTTAAGTTTGTAAGTTTAAGTCAAGTTTATATAAAGTTCGTAAACTTAAAGTTTATTTAAAGTTGGTAAGCTTGAAATTAAGTTCATTTAAGTTTGTAAGTTTAAGTTAAGTTTATATGAAGTTCGTAAACTTTAAGTTTATTTAAAGTTGGTAAGCTTAAAACTAAGTTTATTTAAGGGTAATAAGTTTAAGATAAGTTTATATAAAGTTCGTAAACTTTAAGTTTATTTAAAGTTGGAAAGCTTAAAACTAAGTTTATTTATGGTTGATAGATTTAAGTTAAGTTTATATAAAGTTTGTAAACTTTAAATTTATTTAAAATGGTAACTAAGGTTTACTATATATAAAGTTCGTAAACTTAAGTTATTTAAAGTTGGTAAGTTTAGATAAAGTTGGTAAACTTAAAGTTTATTGGAAGTTGGTAAGCTTAAAATTAATTTCTTTAAAGTTGGCTAGTTTAAGTTGAGATTAAATAAAGTTGGTAAACTTAAAATTTATTTAAAGTTAGTAAGTTTGAGTAAGTTTATTTAAGTTTGGTAAGCTGAAAAATAAGTTTATTTTCGGGTCTAAGATAATAGTGTTTCACGTATCGGGTTTTAGGTACCTGACCCTTCCCTAAAGTGAACAAACCTTTTTGTCCATTCATTTGACAAATTTCCCCAATTTTTACTGTTATACAAAAAGCGATAAACTAATTTTAGAATATAATTTAATCTTTTTTCTTCCACATCTATACCGATTTCTTCATTTTTGGTCATATTTAAAATTTTCTCTTTAAATTCTAACCATAGATCATTGGCAAATTTTAAATTTTGAATATTATCTCCAAAAAATATTTCGAGTTTCAGTCCTTCCTCGATTGTTTTTACTATTATAGCAATATTTAGGTAAATTAAAAAATGTTTTTGAAAAATCAAAACATCAATATGATCATTTGTTTCAATTAAAAGCGAAAACATTTGTAGTAAATAATCTTCCGATATTTCTTTTTTATTTGTCATTTTAGCAAATAAGTCTTTAATAAATTAAAAAATTTTTTTTTTTATTTTTGAAATTTATTAATTACCCTCAAAATTAATAAAAGCTTTCATTTCATAATCCAAATGCTGCAGAAATGAAGGCGAATTTGAAGGTATACTTACTGAGGTACCTACTTCTGAGGTACTAATATCTTGTAAGAATATAGAGAAATTATCATCTGTTGTCGTATTAGTATCTAAAACTTCTTCAATTTCATTTCCATTATCTCGATAATTTAAAATTGAAGTGTCAGTTGAAAGACTTTCAAGGCTTTGACCATTTTTTGGGACTGAACTAGATTCACTTATTTCACTAATAGATTCAGAAACAGTCTGTAAATTATTAAGATTATTTTGTGAGTAAATTAGTGATCGGACTGATACGAGATCTCGTTCAAAAATCTTTGGTATCAAAATAAATATTTTTTCAGATCTCTATTCTCGTAAGACAATCCCAATTCTATTTCTAGTCTTAAGATAACTAATTATTATTTATTACTGATATCAGACCAATTGGAAAATATACCAAGTACCTAATTAAATAATAATTACTTCAGTTAAATTATCACCCACATTGCAGGATAAATCTATCAAGCTTTGGGCAGAGCAATCCGTAATTGCCTCTAGATCCGATGCTTAATAATAAAAAAAATTTTTTATGAAATAAATTAATTTTGGGAATTTTTATTAATTATAATTTTACGTGTAGCTGAAAGTATAGCTTCCCGAATTTTTAATATTTCAGGATTTGTATCTTCATTATCCTCTTTTAATAAATTTAATAAATTTGCTGTATGCATATGCTTTCTGCCTTTATTATTTTTTGCTAAATTATTTTTTCTCAAATTTATTTTGATTAGATCCTTCCATCGCCCTCTATTAAAGAATGATCTTCCCTTATTTTTATTTAATAAAAATTTGTGCCATTCTTCAACATTTTTAAATTCTTTGTTCCCTTTTTTATTATAAAGCGACATTAAAGCATCCAAGGATGCTTGTAGGAATGAGGGATTTGTCTTTGCATCTAATTCAGAGGTAGAATACTCCTCCGGCTCCAGATAAATTTTCTATTAAAAAAAAATTTTTTGAAAATTTTTAGAAGATTTTTCGAAGATTATTTAGAAAAATTTTTTCGAAAAAAAATTTAATAAAACAAACAAAAATTATATTCCAAATTTTATCTTCCTCGTCTTCTTCCGAATTAATAATAATTAATAAAGCCTCCTCCCCATACCAATAATATTTATTTATTTCCTTCCAAGCTTCATCTAGGTGTGAATTAATACAATAAATGTCTTCTTCCGAATTATCTTGACCTTAGATAAAATTAAAAATAATTTTAATTAATTTTATATTATTTTACCTTTATTATTAGGCCCACAAAGCCATTCCCTATATATTATATATTCAATAAGAAGCTTATTTCTCCATTTGGTTAGCATATCTTTAGTTTCAAAATACTCTATATAGAGTTTATAGATTAATGGAAAATTTTCTTGACCTTCTTTTTCAATTATAGCTGAAATTTGGGAGAGTAAATAAATTAATTAATATTTAATATACCGTATTGTCTCTAATACAAGCCCTGGGCTTGCATTTTTCAATACCCCTCATCGGGTGGGCTTATAATAGGGCATGGGCTTCTATTAGGGCATGGGCTTATATTATGTAGAGACAATACGGTAAACGTTTATTTCTGTCCGTTGATGTTCTTAGTTTTAAATAGAGTTGGGCGGGATTGGGATCCAGACTTAAAATCTGGACCGGGATTAGGAATAATGATCTCGATCCCGGTCCCGATCCAGACTGCGGTATCGGGATTGGCCGAAATCGGGATTTTTGAATAAATATCTCGACCGTGATCACGATCCCGCCCAACTCTAGTCTTAAAAACTATAATTTGGAAATTAAGTATCCGACCCAAATTTTCATTTCAAAACGTTTCATAATTATTAAAAAACATACTCATATTTTGAAAAAATTCAGGGAATCCTTCATATAGACTATACAAACGTACACTACCAAATACAATAAAAAGTGCGGCCTCTATATTTTTCAAGGCATTCTTATCGTCTTTATATTTTCTAAAAAAGTCTGAAAAACTTGGATTCTTTAACAATTTGATAAAAATCAGAAAATCAGATTCTTCACGAATCTTATTATCCATTTCATTAGCTATATTAGCCAATTCTTTAGCACCACACGAAACACTAAAAGGTGAGATATTTTCATAATCGACTCTATTATTATTCTTTTTTTCATTAATTAAAATATCTCTAATTTTAATGTTTCTACAAATTTCAAATAATGCACCAATGTTATAATTAATTATTAAACTTCCAAACATCGTAAGCTGAAATAAAAAATTTTTTCCATATTTGAGACTTTCAGGGAGAAGGAGAGAGTTTAGGGGAGAGTTTTGAGCTCTTGGGGACTTTTGTGGACGTTATCCCATGATTCTTGCAACAATTTTAGCAAACTAAAATAACCTTTTTCAAAATATTTGGGTCTTCTTGACGATTCATTTTAATATACATATTAATTAAATAATGTTGGGTAACCGCACTAATTTTCAAATATTTGTCATCAACAACACTCAGTTTATTTGTTAATAATAAATCCGAATAATGCCAGTTTAAGATTTAAGTTACATTACTCTGGGTAATAACTTATGGAAATGTCGTCAATAAATAATCAATCAACATCCACAAAAAGAAATGCAAATACGCCATTAAATTTATCTGGCACATCAGTTAACGACAAACGCTCACGACTAATTGAGCAAATCAATAATTTAAATTTTCAAGAAATTTTACAACAAATGAATAACGACACCACAACACCTCCGTGGGTAAAAATTCTAATGACCCAAATGCAGCAGATATTAACATTGACTTCTGAATTGATAGTGGAACAACAACAACAAACTGGGAATCAACAATCTAACCAACTTCAATATGGTGAATTTAGGCAAGAAATGGAAGAGAAGGAAAGACGCCACTGTCTCGTGCTTAATGGATTACCAGAAAGTAAACAAGCCGAATCAATGGAGAAGGCTAAGGATGATCAACAACGAGTTTTACAGGTTTTAAATGAATGTAAGGTTTCAAGTGCTTTGCCAAGTGGGATTTTTCGTATGGGGAAAATTAATCAAAATAAACCTCGCCCAATTAAAATTAAATTTCCTTGTTCATATGCTGTTCGGGAGGCACTCTCAGGCAAAAAATTTCTAAAAAATCAATACAAACATTTACATTTGCGAGAGTCCCTTTCCAAAACAGAACTTGCCAATCGATCTATTCTTATTAAAGAGTGTCATGAAAAACGTAAGGCGCATCCCGGTGCCGACTTCATTATATATGCAGGTATGGTAATTTTGCGGGAGGAGATCCCAATTTTTCGCACAACCATAAATACAAATCCACACTCAAAAAACTTAATCTCCTCCCACTAACTTGTCAGCCAATTTATAAAACAGCCCAAAAAACTCCGAATTGCGTACAAATAATCAATAAGAACTGTAAAAATAAAAAGAAAAATTTTAAAAAATCCAAAAATATAAAATGCATTTGCTTTAACGCTCGTAGTTTATTAAATAAAATGAATGAATTTCGGTCATTGCTAAGCACCCATATATACCAAATCATAGTCGTTAGCGAATCCTGGCTTCATAAAGAAATTTGTGATAGTTTTATTCTACATACATTAGATTATGAGATTTTAAGATCAGACAGACCATCCAAAAAAGGTGGCGGCGTTTGCGTTCTAATTCATAAGGCATTACCGTTCAAACAGTCCAAAATTTTAAAAACAAATAGTTTCAACCTAATATCATTCGACTTGTTATTACCGCAACTCCAAACAATAAGAGTTATTGCTGTTTACAGGCCCCCTGGGTTTCAAAAATCACAAGATTTTTCTAATTTCTTGGAAAATATATTATACTGCTGCACCACTGAAAATGCGTGTATAATGTTGGGAGATTTTAATTTTCCTGGAATAGAATGGGAACAATTCTTACCCGTTTCACACACCACTCAGATTGAAAACGAATTTTGTGAGTTTACTAATAGCCAACAGTTAATACAACTTGTCTCTCAAGGTACTAGGGGAAAAAATATATTAGATCTTGTTTTTACTAACACACACAACTTAATACACAAGTTAGAAATAGCACCCCCTTTCTCAACATCGGATCATAACAGTATAATTTTTGAACTAGAACAAATAATAACTTATGAACCAACAAAATATATCAAGGATTTTAAAAAAGCGGACTATAAAACAATTAACCAATACCTAGCTTCAATTGATTGGATAACCATATTTGGGCACTCCAATGATATAAACATCAACTATAAAAATTTTTCTGACATAATTAACGAAACTATAAACTTTTTTATACCCTGTTTAACTATAGAAAATAAACTAAAAGGATTACCGACTCATATTACAAAATTATTAGACACTCAAGAGGGTTTATGGAAACGAAACATTCATAAAACGAATAGGCCAAACTATTTGAAGGTAACTCATCTAATAAGGAAACAGATGCTGAAATTTCGGAAAAATAAAGAAAAAAGAATAATACCCCACCCAAAAAAGAAATTCGCATATGTTGGCGCTTTTCTTAAATCAAAAAATTTGAAATACTCAACAATGGTAGACGATCACAATAACATAATATTCACAAATAAACAGAAAGTTAACATACTTGCATCTCATTTCAGTTCAATCTTTAAAAACAGTGGGACTAACACACAAATTACAAACAAAACTTCCCCACTATTGAATACAATAGATTACATGGATTTTTCAGTTTACGATATATTTAATTATTTAACAAAATTAGATAATAAGAATAACACATCACCTGATAATATACCTAATATCTTTCTTAAAAACTGTGCACAAACATTGGCATATCCACTCTTAAGTTTATTCTCTCTATCATTAATGACAAAAAAGGTACCTGATCTCTGGAAAGAAAGTATAATCGTTCCAATTCAAAAGATTCCAAAAGCTAAAAAATCTAACGACTTTAGACCAATCTCTCTCCTCTGCTCAACTGCAAAAATTTTAGAAAAAATATTAGCCTCTAAATTAGTTGAACATGCCCGGAAAAACAGAATTTTTCCACAAGAGCAACATGGATACCATATGGGTAGATCCGTAACAACCCAACTTCTAGAAGTTATGGATGATCTTACAATGGCATTAGAAAATAAAAAATCCGTAGATATAATCTACTTCGATCTGTCAAAAGCATTTGACACCATATCCCACGAAAGATTATTAAGTAAATTAAAATCATTAAATATTCCAGATACTCTAACTAAATGGCTCAAAGATTATTTAAGCAATAGAACTTTCTCTGTAAAAATCCATGAATCCTTTTCTGAAAAAAGGCTCATAAAAAGCGGAGTACCGCAAGGCTCCCTACTTGGTCCCATATTGTTTTTATATTATATACACGATTTAACTGAATTCTGTTATACAGAAAATGTAACTGTTAAACTATATGTAGATGATATTAAGGCGTATTACATTTTCAAAGACAATCCAGTCAATTCAAACCCTTTGCAAGAATTTATTGAAAAATTTTCCGAATACACAGAAATAAACGGATTGGATATAGCTATAAAGAAATGTAATATATTACATCTAGGCACTAAAAATCCTCGCACCATTTATACAATAGAAGATACACACATAACAGAAATTGGTAGAAATCAAACTGTAAGGGATTTGGGTATTTTCTTTGACCATGAGTTAAAATTCCATAATCATATCGACATTATTTGTAATAAAGCTAGGAGAATTAGTTATACAATTCTTAGGTCCTTAAAATCTAATGATGAAAGATTCTTAATTAATATGTTCACCACATATGTAAGAAGTATATTGGAATTTAGTTCTCCTGTCTGGAATCCTTACTATAAAAAATACATTAACAAAATAGAAAAGATTCAAAAAGATTTCGTAAGGATGGTATATAACCGCAAGCATAATATAAAACTTAATGAACAAATCCCTAACTACTCTGAACTCCTCAGATTATATCATATAGATTCTTTAGAGAATAGAAGAATTATAACAGATCTTAAAATCTTTCACAAGCATTGCATAGGATTAAGCCCAATAAATATAAATAACCCCTATTTCATCATTCCATCTAAAACAAGGGGGGACGAAAACAAAATATCACATAAAGCATGCACCTCAATTACTAGACATAATTCATTTTTTGTAAGGACTATAAGGTATTATAATAAACTACCAGCATACTTTAGAAAATTAGATTACAAAAATTTCGCAAAAAACATAACACATATTAATTTTTCCCGCAATTCGGAGGCTGAATTAAGTTAAATTTAAATTTATACTTATAATTTTTTTTATATACTATTTATTTACATTCTTTTTGTTTTTTAATTTATTGACATGATTTTGTTTTTATATATATTTTTTTTACTTGATTTCGTTTTTTATTGTTTTTTGACTTGACTCGCGCCATCAAGGCGTAAATAAATAAATAAATAAATAAATATTAGCCAATTCTTTAGCACCACACGAAACACTAAAAGGTGAGATATTTTCATAATCGACTCTATTATTATTCTTTTTTTCATTAATTAAAATATCTCTAATTTTAATGTTTCTACAAATTTCAAATAATGCACCAATGTTATAATTAATTATTAAACTTCCAAACATCGTAAGCTGAAATAAAAAATTTTTTCCATATTTGAGACTTTCAGGGAGAAGGAGAGAGTTTAGGGGAGAGTTTTGAGCTCTTGGGGACTTTTGTGGACGTTATCCCATGATTCTTGCAACAATTTTAGCAAACTAAAATAACCTTTTTCAAAATATTTGGGTCTTCTTGACGATTCATTTTAATATACATATTAATTAAATAATGTTGGGTAACCGCACTAATTTTCAAATATTTGTCATCAACAACACTCAGTTTATTTGTTAATAATAAATCCGAATAATGCCATTCTAGAATAATTTCTGCATAATCAAGTGGATTGTAAAAGAAGCGCCATTCATAATATTTAAGATATAAAACTTTAAAAATAATGTAATTAGCGTATTTGAATTTTTTCTAAAACAATGATGGCAATCCAATAGTACCTCAAGTCACTTTAGTGCAGTGCTTCTTAAGCTCGATACATAGTATGCCTCCCGTCGGAACTGGCATGTGAGGCTATTACTTAAGTGCTTGGGAACACTGTTGCTTCCTTTGAACATCTCCCATGACATTATTCGCATATTTTCCGCACAAATCCGCAATCCGCACATATAATCCGCATACATAATCCTTACACTAGATTCATGGTCATTTAATGCTGTGATAATCTCCTAACACAGAAAATGTTTCTAGATCCCTTCCATTTTAATTAAAAACCCTTACCCTTTTTGGGATAAAAACTTGGTGGTGCTGCATTTGAAAATAATAAATTTAAAAATATAATAATGCCAAAAGGCAGTAGAATATTTGAAAAGAACATTGAAAATTTAAAAAATTTTAAATCTTAATTAAACAAAATTAAAGTTTTTTATTTAACAAAGCATAATAAGACGTCGCCCTGGAGCTTATAGGTGCCCTAGAGCCTAATAGAGATAGGTTCCAACTTTCACCAAATCCGATCTCCTGCACTTCATTCTTTATCTTCTCGCAACCTCAATTTTCTAAACTACAAAAGTGCAAATCTCCGATGTGCTGCATTACCAACATTTTAAAATAATGGGAAAAAGGAAATTAAAATCCGAGCGATTAACAAATAATTGAGAATTTAAAAATAATTGAGAAAATAATTTATTTCCCAGATTGTTTCAATATTTCCTTATTTTCAAAATTACGTTTATAAAATTAAAGAGCGTGTGAATATTTTTAAAACTTAAAAAAATTATAAAGTGCATTAAGGCGGCAAATAAAATATTTTTTAAATAAATATAAACAAATTAAAATTAAAAAAAATTATTGTGAAATATTAAAATTTAATAAAGCTGAATTTTCTAGCTATTACTCCTTAGATAATGCAAACGATTAGGCGGCTGATCTTTCAGTTTAGCATGCCTCGCCGACTTCTGCTTAGTGTCAGGCTTTACAAAAATTTATAAGGTTGATGGTTCAGAACTTCAGAAAGCAAAAAATTCCCGAATATCGGTTTAGATAAATGTTCTGATTAAGGATATCTGATGATTTTTGAGGGTACCGTCAACCTTATTATATGGCTTTTAATACTTAATGGTATTTACGCTATCAGGGTTTAGAAGTATTAGAGTCAAACGCAGTAGGCGGTAGGGATCGGAAATTTTGAAAAGCCTACCTTTTCCTGGACTCTGGGTTTGATTTATTGACCTGGAATGGATTCTGGGCCTGTAGTCCAGGAAAAACACAGGCCCAGGAGAAAACCAGGAAGGTCAAAAAATGCCTGGACCTGGATTCAGAATACAGAAAAACTCAGACCTTGGTCCAGACCCAGGCCGATCTCTATTAGGCGGATTGTAGATTTGATTGTTTAAAAACCTCAAAATTGCAAATTTAATAATTAATTTTAGCTGCTATAAAAAATAATAAATAAAATATTTTCAAAGTCTCCCCACATCCCCACTCACCTCTAAATAAAAATAAATAAAAATAAAATTTAAAATTCTCTCCCCCCTCTCAATTTTGCTGTTTTCACGTGAATTATAGTCAATTATTTTGGCAATTGGATGTATATATGCCTGTGAAATACATTATATTCTCTCGCCTAGGATATTGCAAAATAATGAGTCGGGCGTATAATCGACTGTTTATGTTAATGTTTTTGAAAGAATTTTTTTAAATTTTTTTGGAAATTTTAATTTTATTAATTAAAATATTTATTAAAAATTTAATTTGTTGGGTAAATCCTTTATTTATTTTTGTTCCTTTTTATGTTCATTATCTTCAGGATTTAACAACAACTTTTCAGTAATTTCATTCCAATCAGGCCAATAACGTTTTTTAATTAATGAAACAAATGCTAGCAGATTTGGGGCACTTTTTTCAATCAAAGGCATTATTGTTTCAGAAATTATAGGTGTGTCAGTAAATTGTGTTAATGTCCCAAAAAGTACGGCATCTAACTGAAAATAATTTTTAATTTTTAAAAAATTATATTTTTCCCTTAATTTCCAAAAACAAAAAATGTATTAAGCATGTTACCTTTTAAATTTATTAATTTAACTAACGTTTTATTAATTACAGGTATTCAAAAATGACTCTGTTTAATGAATAGTAAGTAACAGTACCAGTGTGTTACCAGACCCCACGAAAATTGAAAATTTAAATTGTATGTAGGCTAGACTACTTGTCGGTACCGACCATCTAAATGCCACTAAATAAAATTAAAATCAAAGGAAATTAAATTCACTATGATAAAGTGAGATAAATTTTAACGTTTCCTTCTTAGTTGTGTCTCGCTTCAAACTCAACAATATTTTCTTATTTTAATCCTAAGACCTTAAGAACCCCTAAATCGTATTTAAATTTCATAATTTTGTCTGATAAATCTATCAAAATTTGGAAATAAGTTTTGATAAAAATTAGCCTGGATTTGAGACTGCTAATAATAATTTTAAAAATATTAACTGTAGTAGGAGTACTTCCAAAAAAGAAAGGCTTATCTCCAAGTAGACTATGAAATTAAAAATATTTTTAAAATATTAAAAAAAATTTTCACGTTGAAAGAGCAATTAAATCTTTTTTGGCAATCTCTTCAATTTCAATTAATGAATGACGTCCATAACCTTGGGCATAAACGTTATTTTTTAACTAAAATTAATTTTCTCTTTTAAATTTATTTTTTAATTTACCGCTTTTTGAAGCTTTTTTGCTCCAAATTTCTGCGCAAGTAATTTTTGAAGACCTTTTGCATGGGGCAAGAGCCCTTTCTCTGTAAAGAGCCAACCAAAATCAGTGCTTCGAAAATATTGAAGACAACTGTATAGTTTAAATTTTATTAAGGATTTTGTTTTAAAAATTTATTAAAAATTTATTAAAAATTTTATTTTGACTATTTTCTTTATGTTGAAGTATTTCTGAATTTTTTTTACAAAAATTCACAAAAATCTGATTGTTAGAAATCCATATCTCATCCTATAAATAATATTTTTGGGCTGGGGTTTTCCTCATAATCAGTGCTTGTTATTGGATATTATATGGCCCAAGCTCTGTATGTTTTTAAATTCTTGAATCGGGCTTCAGCACCTAGAATGGTCCTGGAGCCATATCCGGCACTGGTAATAAAAGGGTAAAAAATATTTTAATTGAATCCCTCATTTAATTCAATTTTTTTTTACCGAAATAACGACTCCTCAATAAGTATTGTATAAGCTCTTAAATGTGCTCTTTCCATGCTGTTCAATTTCGAGTCAATTGAAAGTTTAAAATAATTTTTTAAATGTTCCATTATTTGGTTACTATCAGCAAATTGTCGTCCATTTAATTCAATGAAAGGAATTTGGCCTTTAGATGATCCTTTCGACATTTCATTGTTAATGTTCTGATTAATGTAAAAATTATTTGGAGGAGATACGGTAGATTGAATGAAATGCCCATAGAAAATAGTCCATTAAAACGTCTTTTATTTAATTAAAAATTACTTACTCTATAAGTAAGCCCATTCATTCTAATCCACGTCTCCAATTTAAGTGCAAAAGGTGATGGACTTGGAATAAGATGTGTACGGGGGACTTGGACAAGGTAAATCACATCTTGTTTCCAGTCTTTAACCAAAAGACCTTTTGTTGGTTTAAACGACATTCCTATTAAGTCAATTAAAAATACTTTAGTAGAAATAAATTGTTATAGAACCAAAAGTATAACAATAATAGACGGATTGATCTCGAAAAATCATGATTTCGATAACTGAGATTGAAAAATATTTTTTATAATACATATCAGGGAATGTGATGACATAAAAATTAATTCCCGATTTTCTAAAATAAGTATGGCATGATACTATTCCTTGATCACTTCAAAAAATTTTTCCTCGACAAAAATTTATATAGAATTTTTTGTAGATTTTCAAAAGCTGTGAAACTTTGGATATAGATTCTTTAGAGTGTTTCCTAATAGATCTCAAAATTTGAGAATTTTAGGTTAGGTATTCAGCGAGTTATAACTTTCTTAAATTCGAGGGGAACCTCAGGTTCAAAAACACCGAAAAATATTTTTCTAATAAAAATAACTAAAAAAATAAAATTGGACACAGAAAAAATTGGTTGAAAATTGAATAAAAAATATAAAGATACACTTTAAAAATAATTGAATAAATGGGGAGAATGAAAAGAATTTTTGTGTAAAATTGTTTAAACACATTGCGCACTCCTTTCCCTATTAAATTTCCTGTTTTTTAATGGGGATTACTCATAAAAATTTTTCACGATGGATAGGAAGATGATTGAGGTTAATCAACCGAAATTTGAAAAGAGGGAAAATATTTATTTATTTTTTATTTAATTAAAAAATAAAACAATTGTGTGGCTTGTGTAAGTGTAACTGGTATTACTCCAAAAAGAAGAAAATACTTTTAAATATGTATAATGACTACAATCTAGATCACAATTTTATTGCATTCTTTGACTAAAATTACGAAATTAATTCTGAATTAATAATATTAAAAAATGGGGGTTCGCCAAATTTTGTTACACCTTTACTGAAAATGTGGTTTGAGATTATTTTATTTTACTGCAATTTATTAATAAAGGATTAGAATGTTTACGTTATTTATAAGATTTGCAGATCCGAATATCCGGATCATGGATTTCCAGGAATTTTAGTTCGGATATTAGATTAGGATATCAAAAGCTTTCCCAGGATTTGCCAACCTATTTTACTCATACAATATGTAAATTTGAGGAGGAATGTGTGATATTTTCTTATATTTATAGTCTAGTTTTGCTGAAAACTTGAAGAAAACTTTTAATTTCTACACTATTACATTCTTATTAACCTAATTTAATTAGTGTCGAGAGATGACAAATTTAATAAATTAAAAAATATGAACAAAAAATTCCTATCACACCCAGAAAAATGTATATTGTAGTTTCTATTGTCTTAGTTACTTAGAAAAATAATTAAGTTTTTGAAATTTATTTTTGAAATTTATTTTTTCTATAAATAATAATTTATCTTAGGAAAAATAATCTTTCTTTAAATTAATTTTTGTTCCTTTTTATGTTCATTATCTTCAGGATTTAACAACAACTTTTCAATAATTTCATTCCAATCAGGCCAATAACGTTTTTTAATTAATGAAACAAATTCTAACAGATTTGGGGCACTTTTTTCGATAAAAGGCATCATTGCTTCTGAAGTGGGTGTATCTGTATACTGTACTAATAATCCAAACAGAATTGCGTCCAACTGAAGAAAAAATTTTTAAATTAATTTTTATTAATTATATTATCTAGCGTTAAACGCGTTTCCAGCAAGAAAACAGAATTCTGGATCCAGGAAAAATTCAGACTGGATCATGATCCAAACCGATCTCTAATGTGTATATTTTTAGAAAAACCTTCAATTTTAAAACTAGGGTTGTTGGCGACCGGTTTTAAAACCGGAATTTTTGAAATTTTCTGCGAAAAATTAACCGTTTTTAGAAAATTTTAAAAACCGAAAACCGGAAATTTGTGAAAATAAGTGATTTTATTAAAAATTCCCCCAAGAATAAACCGGTATTTGCCTAAAACTCAAAACCGAAAACCGGGTTTCTAAAATTTAGATTAACCGAAAACCGGGGGTACCGGTTAATAACCGGTCGCCAACAACCCTATTTAAAACCCATCATTATACGATTTTTAAGACCCAATGGGGGTGCTTATATAAAGGTTAGATAATACGTTAAAATAGGATGGCTCCCCGAGCCTTCGGCATCGAATGTGTCGGAGATTGGGTTTTGCCGGCTTGGGCATTTCGGGGTTCGGGATCGATGTTGACCTTTGGGTCAGGGTTCGGGGCCCTACTTTAATAATACCATTCCTTAAATAACTAAAAGTACTCCTAAATTTTTTAAAATAATATATTGAAAAAGATATTAACTGTAGATGGAGTATTTCCAAAAAGAAAAGGCTCATCTCCAAGTAGACTATAAAATTAAAATTTTAAATTAAAAAAAATTTTCCTCCTCACGTCGAAAGAGCAATTAAATCTTTTTTAGCAATTTCATCAACTTCGTGTTTTGAATGGCGTCCATAACCTTGGACATAGACAATATTTTTTAACTGCAATTAATTTTTGTTTATTAAATTTATTTTTAATTTACCGTATTTTTGAGCTTTTTAGGTCCAAATTTTCCTATTAAAAATTTTTTAAGGCCTTTTACATGAGACAAGAATCCCTCTTCTGTAAATAGCCAGTCAATATCAAAGCTTCGAAAATATTGCCCACACCTTTAAATTTAAACAATTATATATTTATTTTAATCTTGGAAATGGACACAGATTTTGGTTACGTATTAGTTTATATCCGTGAGGTCGAAAATATATCCGTATATCATTTGAATATCCTCCCGCGAGTAAACGTATATCCCTCACATATCCGTATTTCTGTATCCAATAGGACCCTGTTCCGGTTCCTGTCAGAATTTCGGTTATGGTGAAACCCTAATACCTATCCGTATAGAAAGAATAAGAAGCAAAGGTTATGAGAAATTTATAGAAGCCGTTGGAGGCTTGATAGCTGAACAGCTTTGTATTATGGTACGAATCTTACTTAAGTCAGCTATTTCTTGAATTATATGTAATGTAGTACTTTAAAATAACTTCAATATAATGAGATTTATGCTTTTTCAAATTTTCTTAAAAACATACCGAAATAACGACTCCTCAATAAGTATAGTATAAGCTCTTGAATGTGCTCTTTCCACGTTGTTTAAATTTGAATCCATTGAAAGTTTGAAATAATTTTTTAAGTGTTCAATTATTTCCTTAGTATCTGCATATTGCTTTCCATTTAATTCAATAAAAGGGATTTGGCATTTGGCTGATCCTTTTGTTAGTTCATTGCTTACATTCTAATACAATTTAAAAATTATTTTTAATTATGGTTTTATTACATTATGTTCCAAAAAGTCCGCAAATTTTATCCGCAAGTCAGAAAAATGAATTGCGGATAAAACTTGCGGACTTTTTTGGAACAAAACCGTATAGAACTATAAATCAAAAATTTAAAGAAAAATTCCTTACTCTATAAGTAAGCCCATTCATTCTAATCCACGTCTCCAATTTAAGTGCAAAAGGTGATGGACTTGGAATAAGATGGGTACGTGGGAACTGGACAAGGTAAATGACATCTCGTTTCCAGTCATTAACCAGAAGACCTTTGGTTGGTTTAAAGGACATTTTTCTTGAATATGAGAGAATTTAATATGTATTTTTTTAATAATTAAGATAATAAAAAAATAATGAAAAATATATTTCCTCAACTAATTTTAGGAAGAATGATGTGAGGAAGAGGAGTAGCCTTATCTTAGGTAGCCTTACTTGCTCAGCTTTATTTTTCTCCATCATCAATATTCGTAGAATAAAAAATTTCCTCGCAGCAAAGTACTCTCTAATATCCTTTATTAATCCACCTATCTTAATAAGTAGCTCGCTCAAATTTTTATAATTATTAGAAAAATTGTGGCTGCCACTCAAGTGAGATTTCGAGGAGGGAAGAAGAGAATAACTAAAAAATATTTTAACACACATTATTTATATATATTTTTATTTTTAATCAGGATGACTAATCAAGTGTTCTAATATTTGCAAAAGTGATCGCCGTCACAATTTTTATAGCCACCTTTATTGTAGTTTATAGTTAGAGAATTGGTGACAATTGGTAATTACCGAATTTTGCGGAATTACCGAATTTTGCAATTTTTTTTTCAGTGTCTGAATAATAAGAAAATTATAATTTATAATTCCAGCGTGAAAATACATTTAAAAAAATTTTCTTTGCCGAACCTCTGCTCATTAAATATGTAAAATTTGCGGACAAAAATTTGCGGATAAAGAGTTGCGGACATTTATGAGAACAAAAGGAACAAAATTAATTTGGACAAAATTTACTTAACTCTTATCAAACCTATTTTTACATTTTTAAAGGGAAAAGAAGATTTCTAAATTTAAATTTCAAAATTAAATATTGAATGATAAAAATTGAATTAAATTTAGACGTCGGCAAACAAAAGGAAAAATGTAGTTTGTATTTTTGTAGTTTCCTAGGGAACGAATTGGGCGTAGAAAAATTAATAGAGGAAATACTAAAATTGTACAAACTAGAAATTTAGCTAATTTATAGAAAAATGTTTTCAAAAATTATAGGATGTACACGAAAATTTTTTTTCTTAATTTTTCCTTTGTAGTTCACTGATAAACGAATTTTTAAAATTTCAAATTCCCCAAAAATAGATAATAGTGCTTAAATATGGTAATGTAGACATACAGTATGTTAATGAAAAAATCTTAACCGGTAATTTTTAAATACAGTTTTTAATAGTGTTGGTCAAACGCGATTTTTCGGTATCGGTATCGGTATTTTCGGTAAAATACCGATATCGGTATCGTTATTTTTGGTAAAATACCGTATCGGTATTTTCGGTAAAATACCGATACCGAAAAAATACCGATTTTTTAAAAATTGTTCGGTACCGTATTCGGTATTGGTATTTCGGTAAAAATACCGCGGTATTACCGAAAAATACCGCCGTAAAACGGTACCTTGACCAACACTAGTTTTTAATGCTGATTCGAATGATATATTATTTATCCTTATCAGATTTTTATTCACTGATAAACGAATTTTTAAAATTTCAAATTCCCCAAAAATACATAATAGTGCTTAAATATGGTATTGTAGACTTACAGTATGTTAAGGAAAAAATCTTAACCGGTTATTTTTAAATACAGTTTTTAATGCTGATTCGAATGATATTTTATTTATCCTTATCAGATTTTTATTCACTGATAAACGAATTTTTAAAATTTCAAATTCCCCAAAAATACATATTAGTGCTTAAATATGGTATTGTAGACTTACAGTATGTTAATGAAAAAATCTTAACCGGTAATTTTTAAATACAGTTTTTAATGCTGATTCGAATGATATTTTATTTATCCTTATCAGATTTTTATTCACTGATAAACGAATTTTTAAAATTTCAAATTCCCCAAAAATACATATTAGTGCTTAAATATGGTATTGTAGACTTACAGTATGTTAATGAAAAAATCTTAAACGGTAATTTTTAAGTACAGTTTTTAATGCTGATTCGAATGATATTTTATTTATCATTATCAGATTTTTATTCACTGATAAACGAATTTTTAAAATTTCAAATTCCCCAAAAATACATATTAGTGCTTAAATATGGTATTGTAGACTTACAGTATGTTAATGAAAAAATCTTAACCGGTAATTTTTAAATACAGTTTTTAATGCTGATTCGAATGATATTTTATTTATCCTTATCAGATTTTTATTCACTGATAAACGAATTTTTAAAATTTCAAAATCCCCAAAAATACATATTAGTGCTTAAATATGGTATTGTAGACTTACAGTATGTTAAGGAAAAAATCTTAACCGGTAATTTTTAAATACAGTTTTTAATGCTGATTCGAATGATATATTATTTATCCTTATCAGATTTTTATTCACTGATAAACGAATTTTTAAAATTTCAAATTCCCCAAAAATACATATTAGTGCTTAAATATGGTATTGTAGACTTACAGTATGTTAAGGAAAAAATCTTAACCGGTAATTTTTAAATACAGTTTTTAATGCTAATTCGAATGATATTTTATTTATCCTTATCAGATTTTTATTCACTGATAAACGAATTTTTAAAATTTCAAATTCCCCAAAAATACATATTAGTGCTTAAATATGGTATTGTAGACTTACAGTATGTTAAGGAAAAAATCTTAACCGGTAATTTTTAAATACAGTTTTTAATGCTGATTCGAATGATATTTTATTTATCCTTATCAGATTTTTATTCACTGATAAACGAATTTTTAAAATTTCAAATTCCCCAAAAATACATATTAGTGCTTAAATATGGTATTGTAGACTTACATTATGTTAATGAAAAAATCTTAACCGGTAATTTTTAAATACAGTTTTTAATGCTGATTCGAATGATATTTTATTTATCCTTATCAGATTTTTATTCACTGATAAACGAATTTTTAAAATTTCAAATTCCCCAAAAATACATATTAGTGCTTAAATATGGTATTGTAGACTTACAGTATGTTAAGGAAAAAATCTTAACCGGTAATTTTTAAATACAGTTTTTAATGCTGATTCGAATGATATTTTATTTATCCTTATCAGATTTTTATTCACTGATAAACGAATTTTTAAAATTTCAAATTCCCCAAAAATACATATTAGTGCTTAAATATGGTATTGTAGACTTACAGTATGTTAATGAAAAAATCTTAACCGGTAATTTTTAAATACAGTTTTTAATGCTGATTCGAATGATATTTTATTTATCCTTATCAGATTTTTATTCACTGATAAACGAATTTTTAAAATTTCAAAATCCCCAAAAATACATATTAGTGCTTAAATATGGTATTGTAGACTTACAGTATGTTAAGGAAAAAATCTTAACCGGTAATTTTTAAATACAGTTTTTAATGCTGATTCGAATGATATATTATTTATCCTTATCAGATTTTTATTCACTGATAAACGAATTTTTAAAATTTCAAATTCCCCAAAAATACATATTAGTGCTTAAATATGGTATTGTAGACTTACAGTATGTTAAGGAAAAAATCTTAACCGGTAATTTTTAAATACAGTTTTTAATGCTAATTCGAATGATATTTTATTTATCCTTATCAGATTTTTATTCACTGATAAACGAATTTTTAAAATTTCAAATTCCCCAAAAATACATATTAGTGCTTAAATATGGTATTGTAGACTTACAGTATGTTAAGGAAAAAATCTTAACCGGTAATATTTAAATACAGTTTTTAATGCTGATTCGAATGATATTTTATTTATCCTTATCAGATTTTTATTCACTGATAAACGAATTTTTAAAATTTCAAATTCCCCAAAAATACATATTAGTGCTTAAATATGGTATTGTAGACTTACATTATGTTAATGAAAAAATCTTAACCGGTAATTTTTAAATACAGTTTTTAATGCTGATTCGAATGATATTTTATTTATCCTTATCAGATTTTTATTCACTGATAAACGAATTTTTAAAATTTCAAATTCCCCAAAAATACATATTAGTGCTTAAATATGGTATTGTAGACTTACAGTATGTTAAGGAAAAAATCTTAACCGGTAATTTTTAAATACAGTTTTTAATGCTGATTCGAATGATATTTTATTTATCCTTATCAGATTTTTATTCACTGATAAACGAATTTTTAAAATTTCAAATTCCCCAAAAATACATATTAGTGCTTAAATATGGTATTGTAGACTTACAGTATGTTAAGGAAAAAATCTTAACCGGTAATTTTTAAATACAGTTTTTAATGCTGATTCGAATGATATTTTATTTATCCTTATCAGATTTTTATTCACTGATAAACGAATTTTTAAAATTTCAAATTCCCCAAAAATACATATTAGTGCTTAAATATGGTATTGTAGACTTACAGTATGTTAATGAAAAAATCTTAACCGGTAATTTTTAAATACAGTTTTTAATGCTGATTCGAATGATATTTTATTTATCCTTATCAGATTTTTATTCACTGATAAACGAATTTTTAAAATTTCAAATTCCCCAAAAATACATATTAGTGCTTAAATATGGTATTGTAGACTTACAGTATGTTAATGAAAAAATCTTAACCGGTAATTTTTAAATAAAGTTTTTAATGCTGATTCGAATGATATTTTATTTATCCTTATCAGATTTTTATTCACTGATAAACGAATTTTTAAAATTTCAAATTCCCCAAAAATACATATTAGTGCTTAAATATGGTATTGTAGACTTACAGTATGTTAATGAAAAAATCTTAACCGGTAATTTTTAAATACAGTTTTTAATGCTGATTCGAATGATATTTTATTTATCCTTATCAGATTTTTATTCACTGATAAACGAATTTTTAAAATTTCAAATTCCCCAAAAATACATATTAGTGCTTAAATATGGTATTGTAGACTTACAGTATGTTAATGAAAAAATCTTAACCGGTAATTTTTAAATACAGTTTTTAATGCTGATTCGAATGATATTTTATTTATCCTTATCAGATTTTTATTCACTGATAAACGAATTTTTAAAATTTCAAATTCCCCAAAAATACATATTAGTGCTTAAATATGGTATTGTAGACTTACATTATGTTAATGAAAAAATCTTAACCGGTAATTTTTAAATACAGTTTTTAATGCTGATTCGAATGATATTTTATTTATCCTTATCAGATTTTTATTCACTGATAAACGAATTTTTAAAATTTCAAATTCCCCAAAAATACATATTAGTGCTTAAATATGGTATTGTAGACTTACAGTATGTTAATGAAAAAATCTTAACCGGTAATTTTTAAATAAAGTTTTTAATGCTGATTCGAATGATATTTTATTTATC